ACACAACTTATACATCTGTTCTTTATTCAATAAATCATGCATATATAATAATAAAAAATAAGATAAGAGTGAGATCAAACAAACATACATACAAGAGGTCAAACATAGGATCAAACATAGGATCGAACAAACAAAAAATAAGACGGTGTGCACCTCCTTTGACCGACTCACAACTGCAGAATATTATTTATGAATTAAAAAGGTGCGTTTTCAGCAAGGACTTGAATTGGTCGAGAGAATGAATATTATGAATAAACTTTTCATTTTTACCCGATTTCCATATAGCACAGTCATCTGCAAATAATGATATATTCACTTCCTTTTCCAATGGTATATCATGAATCATAATGTTGAATAAAATTGGACTAAGGGCACTTCTTTGTGGTAATCCATTGACTAGGGTAGATATTTTAGATAGTGTCTGTCCACTCCACACTTGGAAGGTTCTTTTCTGTAGTAAGTTCTGAATAAATGTATACATATTTCCTTTCACTCCTAGTTCATGAAATATTGAAAGTCCCAGTATTTAAACCATTTATTTAACCGATGTAGGTATGTTTGTACTTTGTCTTGAACAAACTTTTCATTTTTACCCGATTTCCATATAGCACAGTCATCTGCAAATAAATATATATTCACTTCCTTTTCCAACGGTATATCATGCATCATAATGTTGAATAAAATTGGACTAAGGGCACTTCCTTGTGGTAATCCATTGACTAGGGTAGATATTTTTGATAGTGTCTGTCCACTCCACACTTGGAAGGTTCTTTTCTGTAGTAAGTTCTGAATAAATGTATACATATTTCCTTTCACTCCTAGTTTGAGTAATTTATATAATAAACCATTGAACCACAACTTATCATATGCCTTGGTTACATCTAAAAAGCAGACTAGAGTATGTTCATGATTCCCTAAGATTTGCCGAATACTATTTTCAAGTAGTATAATATTATCTGTAGAGCTTCTTCCTTTTCTGTATCCGCTCTGTATGCTCGGAAAAATATTTTTAATCTGTACTGGTAACTTCTTGTAGATTTCATATCCAATTTTGTCTTTTCCTGGTGCTTTATCTTTTTGATTTTTCAGGACTTGATTGAATTCTTGCATAGTAAATTTTTGATTCAAAGACTGATTTTTACGTTGTTCCTGATCATCATTTACATTTTCTTGCATATATTCTTTAACTATATTTTCGGCTTGCTTGTTTATTATTGTACTCTCACTAATATTTTAAAAATGATTAGCCATCACATCTACAACCTCTTGACGATTTATTATTTCTTTCTCTTCATATATTATCTATTTAATATTTTTATTTTTCTTATTAGTCGTACTGTTTTCTATATTACGTATCATATTCCAAATGTCTGTCATTGATGTGAAACGAGTCATTTCTTTACAATAGGTGATCCAATAGTCTAGCTTTGCTCGTTTTGCTTTTTTTTTTTTTTTTAATCTTTTGTGCTTCTGCTTTCTTTTCCAGGTAATCTTCTACATACTCTCCAGTTTTTCTTTTCTCTGCTTAATATCTTAGATGATTTCTTTCTTTTATACTTTGTGTGAACATTCCTTGTTCCACCAGGGAACAGGATTTTGTCTTCTTTTTTATTTCACTTTTCCTAGACGTATCATTATGTTATTCAAAGTTTCTACAAATATAATGTAAGCTTCTTCTACATTATGTTCGTCTATATTTATCATCTCTTCTTCACATGCTTGTTGGAATGTTACCTAATTAATATTAGCAAGTGACCAATTTATTTCTTCCGAATCAATTTTTGGATGATTATTTTGATTTCCTATTTCTATCAATATAGGAAAATGATCACTTCCTAAAGTGGTAGATTCAAGAAATCCAAGAAATCTTATGGGAAATATTAGGAGATGAAAAGCAGAAATCTAATGCTGAACGCTTTGTCGTTCTGTGGTCAATTCTTGTACCTCCCCCCCCCCCCACCCCCCCCCCCCCCGCTTATTCAGCGATCGGCTGAGTCGTTGCTATTTTTTTTGGACCAAAAAAGAAAGAAAAGAAAGTGACCTCTTACCACCCCCCCCCCGCTTATTTAGCGGCTGGCTGAGTCGTTGCGAAATTTCCGGCCCGATTTATAAATGTTAACCCCCCCCCCCCTTGAAAAAATCCTGCGTATGCCAATTATTCTATTTTTATAAACTCCTTCATAATTATTTATATCAAAATGTTCGTTTTCTAATAGCAAAGTTTCTTGCACACAAATCAAATGAATTATTTTTTGTATATTATAAATATGTAGTCTCAGTTCGTCTCCGTGACCATTTATGCCCTGCGCATTCCATTACAGTATATTTAGGGTCATGGAGGAGAACAGACTAAATAATAATAATAATAATAGCCTAATAATAGCCTAATAGTCCACTCCAAATTTTATTAAACCGAAACGGAAATTCTTTTTGCCCAATTGATCGTGAGCCCGGCAGCCACTGAGCAGCGCCAGATCGACGTTGCTCTATCCCTTATTGTTGAACGCCAAACAAGGTAGCAACAACTCCCATCTTTTAACGTCTTTTGGTATGACGCGGCCGGGGTTCGAACCCACGACCTCCCGGTTGTGTGGCGGACGCTCTACTGACTGAGCCAACACTCCGGTTAACATTTTGTTCATTTAACATTTCTTTAGTGAGATTGAAAAATTTGAGAGCTACTCCTACAATCAGGCTTATTGGATTATATTTATTTTGATTAAAATTTGCAAGAATATATACAATAAATGAAATTATTTCTTCATTACTGGCATTGATAACGAAGTTTTTCTCATTTTTATTAACTTCTCCTCCTTCATGAACATACTGTGTGGTTCCAGAATAATCTTGGTGTAAAGTATTTTCTTTCGTATTTTTGTTTTGTTGTCTGCCTTCGTTTTGTTTTAGTTGTGTGGGATAAGTTTTCATTTCCTTCTCAGATTCTTTTATCTGGGGTGTTTGTTCGTTTATCTGTACCGGAAAGTCTACCGCTTGTCTTTCTTGTGGAAGAGGTGCGTTTTGAATTTGGTTTGTATCCATTGCTTGATCTTAATCATTCTTCCAAACTTTGGCAGCTTGAGCATAGCTTACTTTTTTTTTCTATTTTGATTCTCTGCACTTCTTTTGCTTTTTGGGCTTCTTGACATCCCAAATACGCCGCAGAGTGTTCGCCTCCACAATTGACACATTTTGGCGTTTCTTTGTGGAGACATTCGTCGAAGGAGTGCGTCTCCCCACAGCGAACACATCTGGGTTTGGATTGACATTGTGCTATTCCGTAGCCGAAAGGTTGGCATTTGAAACATCTGAGTGTGGGTGGAATAAATTCGTCCTTGGTTTCACAAAGTGACGGTAGTGAGGAAAATCGTAACGCAAACTGAAAGCAATTTTTTCACTACCGTCACTTCGTGAAAACAGCGACGAATTGTTTAACCTTAAATAATTGGTAAAAAAAACGTTATTTCAGAGGGGAGGTTGCTGCGGTCAAATGAAAGAATGATATTCCTAGTGGGAATTGGTTCTTTTATTTTGTCTTTTCTTCCTTGGGAACCATTTTCTTTTCTGGCATTTCTTCTACTCATCATTCTTTTAATCCCCACGACTTTCTGTTTAGTCAATTCGTTTTGAATTTCTTGTTCTGTCATTTCGACGGGGACACCATATATCACTCCTTTCACCCAAGTTCTCATCTCTTCCGCCTTCACGGGAATATTTCCGATGTTTTCAATTTCTTTCACACTTCTCATTTGCTTTAATAGTGTTTTTACACTTTACCAAGATTCCATTTCTTACATGCTTGACGAATTCCATTGGATTATTGCCCACCACTGCAGTTATGGCTTTAGCTATCACTAGGAGATTCAGATTGTTTAGATTTTTGGTTTCGTCTATTGGGACTACAAAGCATTTTAAGTCAGATGGCTTGGGGGTTGCAAAAGTATGATTTTCTTTATCCGAATTTGAAGTATCGTGCATTTTAAGTGTTTCCACTTCTCTACTTTCTTTTCTTCGTCTTTTCGCCGCTTGTTTTTTCCCTGGACTGACAGTCATAAAATCATCTTCTGTTTCGTTGCCTTGCTCCGGAGCGGCGGCCGCCATGGTTGCAGTGACGTGGCGCCACTACAAAAGGGCGGGAATTTCAAAAAAGATTCGATAGTTTTTAACAGTGTTAGTATTATCAATTTGCCCACAAATGTCTGCTTACCTTTGTGATTCCTTTTTGCGATGTGGGTATTCACTAGATATTCCAAATAATATGTGATATAAAGGAGATTTTCTATTGTAATTCCAGAAATTTCCTAAGTTTAACGAAAATACGTCCACGCCCTATCGCGAGCACATAAAGTTTACTTATGACCGAGTGGATCCAAAGAGTAGCAAAAGCTTAGTAGAGGACGGTAGTTCAAACAATTGACTGGAAACGCAAAGGTCGACACTACGTTATTTCATAAGCAAGACATCTACGTATAGATTCTATCGAGTCTTCTCGACCTGGGTTTTAAATGGGGTACCTGATACCTTTCACTTTCACTAGAAGCCTAAGCAAATGCTAGTTATACGTATTCGACCCATTGCTTCAATACTGAAATATATGAACATTAAACAAACCCCTAGAAAAGGACCCTTGTAAGATATTACCACTTTAAATTTATGAATACAGGAAAATTTGTGAACGATGCTTAATTTCCTTAACTTGAGTCATCTCACTTACCGTTGAAAAAATAATCATGATTTTAATAATCTTTTCATGTTTCCTTATTTTGGAATTATTGGCTAACGCGTCTGTGGGTATGAAGTTTTTTTCTTCAGAATAGAGGTGATCAATACGCTCTTTCTAAGCAAGGGAACTATTCTCGTAGCGCTACACTGTACCTGTAGAAAATATAATAGCAAACAATCAGTAGTCAAAGTTATTGACATTCTACTCCATAGATGTACGTCTCGTCAATGGATCCAACAATGCTGAAGGTAGAGTCGAGGTCTTGTTCGATGGATCGTGGATGACCGTTTGTGATGATATCTGGAATCTGTTCAACGCAAGGGTAACATGTAGAATGCTAGGGTTCGTCGGTGCCCTGGACGCGCCACGATCAGCCATGTTTGGTCAGGGTTCTGGTGATACTATTGGTGTTAACTGCCTGGGAACAGAAGACAGCCTGCAAGACTGTGTCGATGTTGCGGTTGAATCTTACTGTGGGCATCACAAGGATGCGAGTGCAGTGTGCTACTCAGGAGGTACGAACTCTTTTTGGACATGAGGAAACGAATATTCGTAATTGTAAATGGCATTCTGTTCAAAACGCAAAAAAAAAATATAAGGTCATCAATTTACTTCTTCCCATCATTTCAACAAAATCAATTACTAAAATCCTTGAGACAGTGATAGAAAAGGTCTCATAACAGTGTATGACTGCATTTGACTTTGACAACTTTTTAGGCATTTCTTGAATGTTGTTTATTACAAGCAGTCATATTGCTTTTAAGAACCCTCACATAATAATATATGTATATTAAGTTCGCTTTAGTTAATACACTTTGTCTTTTTGAATTTAGCCTACCCGAATCCATTCGAGGTACGTCTGTTCGGTGGCACCGAAAGATTAAATATCATTCACTGACAGTAATAAAGAGAAAACATCGAATCGTTTCCACAATTATTTATTTTTGTATTGGGAGTTCAGGCAAATTATCAAATTTATTTTATAAAGATTCGCAAAATGTGACTAAAGTAAAATATAGAAGACCCTTTTTTTGCCTTAGCCCATCCGAACCCATTTAAAGTTCGTCTGGTTGGTGGACCTTACGACGCTGAAGGCAGAGTACAGGTACTGTACGACGGCTCGTGGGGAACTATCTGTGACGACACCTGGGATCTGAGAGACGCGAGGGTGGTTTGTAGAATGCTGGGGTTTGATGGAGCCTTGGACGCACCGGGATCTGCTCGATTTGGTGAAGGTTCAGGGGATATACTACTAGACGATGTCGGGTGTGAGGGAACAGAAGATAACCTTGCAGACTGTGCTCATTTAGGGATTCGAGTTCACAACTGTGGACATGGTGACGATGCAAGCGCTGTTTGTTATTCGGGAGGTACGTTTCTAGATTTTGTAGATTATCAATGTCAACAAATTGTTCTTACTTATTCACATGTTAAACACAGGTATATTTGTATTTCCTTGGTCGGTTTAAGGAAATGGAAAAGACTTATCGGTCATTTGGTTGGGCACACAAAAGCTGACCTCCGCAAACAAAGTTAGGATTGTAGGACGCTTTTCCTCATCTGACGTCACAGCTAGAATTTGAAAAAACAGTTATGGGGTTGCTCTTCTAGAAGTATGTCTGATCACGTCCAGTGCTCTTAAACAATCCATGTACATAATTTTTCTAAGAGGGATATATCATTACATTTTCTAACGAGCTGTAAGATTATGAACATTTTATCTGCTAATTATATTCTACATCTAAATTCAATCATGCACTAATAATGATAGTACATTTATAGAGCGCAGAAACTATCCAAAATTAGGTATATATTCTACTGCGCTACAAGAGCTCCTGATATGCTTAGATTTACAATTAATTAAAAAGATGTGTTTTCAGTTTTGACTTAAAGACGTTTACAGATGGTGATTTCCTGACTTCAAATGGCAAGTTATTCCAGAGTTTGGGGGCTGCACAAGCAAATGCTCGATCACCTAGCGTTATTTTTGTTTCGATAGATGGGATCTGCAGCAACAAAGTATCTCGGGAACTGCGCAAGTTACGATTGTGTTGATTAGGTTTTAAATACAACAGTTCTTTGATATAAGTGGGAGCTTGACCAAGAAGTGCTTTATATACAATCAGTAAGATTTTGAATGTTATTCATGGCGTACTGGTAACCAATGTAGATTTCTTAAAATTGGGGTGATCCGTGTGAATTTAGAACCACAGATTAGCCTTGCACAGGTGTTTTGAACCCGTTGCAATCTCACTATTTGAGAGTCAAGGATCCCATACAGTAGACCATTACAATAGTCCAACTTATTGGTGATACATGCATGAACAATGTCTTTCGTAATGTCCTTATCTTAATATTTACGAATACGTCTGAGATTATAGAGCATGTAGTATGCTGATTTACAAACATTTGTGATATGCTCTCTCATATTCAAATTCGAATCGAACTGTACTCCGAGATTTCTTGCACTAACAGATGGTTCTATTACAGAGTCTCCAATTGATACACTGTTTAAGTTGATTTCGGATGTCTATTTAGGTGTGCCAATGATCATTAATTAAGTTTTACCATCATTAAGCATGAGCCTATTTTGCAACATCCATCCACGTACATAGTCAACACATGTTTCTAGAAGTGAGACACATCGCTCTTTAGCATGTTCATGAGGTCTGAATGATACATAAAGCTGTGTGTCATCTGCATAGCAGTGGCATGATATCTCGGGGAAATTCGTTCGAATATTTGAAATGAGATTAGCAGTGTACAGAGTAAATAACAAAGGACCCAGCCGAGAACCTTGTTGAACTCCGAAAGGCACAGGGAAATCATCAGAGATCACATCATCTATTTTGACCTGTTGATATCTTTTTACCAAATACGACTCTATCCATTCAAGAACAACACCCTCTATGCCAAAACAGGTCTTTAAAGTCTCTGATAAGCAAGAATGATCTATGGTGTCGAATGCACTACTTAGATCTAATAACAGTAAAAGAGTGACTTTCTGGAAATCCATAGCCATCAATAGATTACTCTTTATTCTTAGCAGTGCAGTTTCAGTACTATGGAATGGTCTATATGCAGACTGAGTACATGGCAAAAGTGGGTTGTTATTGAAGTGATCCATAATTTGCTGGGTAGCAGCACCCTCAACCAACTTCGATATATATTTCAGATTACTGATAGGTCTTAAGTTCTTAAAATCTGCGTCAAGACCAGGTTTTTTCAATAAAGGTGTAATGAGGGCATTTTTCAATTGCATGGGAAAATGACCAGTCGAGAGAGAAAGATTAATCAACGATGTGAACACAGGAATTAATATGTCGATACATGGTAGAAGAAGTTTCATAGGCATAGGATCTAACGAGCATGACTTCTTACTGGGTTAAGTATAAGTTTTTCAACTTGCTGCTCAGAAAGAGATTTGAAATTGCTCAAAACATTTAACACAAATGAGCCTTTCCATCTCACTCTCTCTCTCTATCACTCTTAACAAAATTTACAAATGATAACTGTATAAATGGCATGCTTTAATATTAGATGAAATAAACAGAACCCAGAGCTTAGTGACTTACAACTCTATATGACATCTCCCTCGATGTGCAAATCATTTAAAACGAAAATGTGTATTTATTTAATATATATATCTGTAGAGTGTTTCTCTTCTTCAGAAAGAAATATGGGCTGTATTAACCTACTTCTTTAACAATATCTAAACTTATTTCGGGACTCTCATGCATTTGATCTCAGGGATTTTGGGTTGAAATAAGACCTTAAATGTCTTTTAATCATACAGTGTGCACTATTTTGGTTTAAATGTGACATGATGGTAAAACTCCTATTTCAAGAGAAAAATCCTTTTACCCCCTGGTTCTTCCCTACAGATCCATTTCAAGTTCGTCTTGTCAATGGATCTAACGATGCTGAAGGCAGAGTAGAGGTCAGGCACGATGTATCCTGGGGTACTGTCTGTGACGATCTATGGGATCTGAGAGACGCGAGGGTGGTTTGTAGAATGCTGGGGTTTGATGGAGCCCTAGACGCACCGGGATCTGCTCGGTTTGGTCAAGGTTCAGGGGATATCCTTCTAGATGATGTGGGTTGTTCGGGTACAGAAGTCAACCTGGCAGAATGTCCACATGGAGGGGTTGGAAATCACAACTGTGAACATTTTGAAGATGCAGGCACTATTTGTTACTTAGGTAGTAAGTTACCTCTCCATTTTAAGCTAGTGTGTACAGAAAAAGTGTAATATTTAAAAAAAATTATCTGTAGCTAAATGATCTTTTATATTTGTCCAACAAAATTCCTTTTAATGTGACTTCCTGATAGTTAGATAGGAGCAACTATAATAATTATAGTTGTTCTTATCTATATATGTTTAAGTACTATAGTATATACGAGTTTAAATGTACATATCGAATTAAATAAATACATTTTCTTCTTCACAACAACTGATTTAATTCTACTCAAATATGAATTAATTTTGCTTGTACCAATATCATACATTTCCGTTATGTTTACTGTTTTGCATCAATTGAACGCAGCTACATCATATTTGTTTAATCGATGTCAAAACTTATTATCTTCAATCGTTACTCAATCTGTATGGTGTTGTCTTATGTGTCTTTGGTCCGTATTCTACAAAGAAAGTTTTTTAGTCGATACAAAAAGACTAAATGGAGCAGTAATTATAAAACACGCAATTTGATATTAATCGATTTTTATTTCGAATAGTTGAGCGGACTGCTTTTCATTTTTTTTTCGACAGTGGCATAGAAAAACTCTTACTGCTGACATACGAGATTTTAATTTCGACTAGATCTCCAGTGAAATAACATTGAAGTTGTTGCTTAGTTTTTTCCTCTGAATATATTCATATATTTATTTTCAATGAAATGATAGAGAAGAATGACAAATATGTGTTATGTTTGTTTTACACAAATTTACACATGAATTCGTTTGTATTAGTAGTTAAGGCAAATGATCAGGTTTATTTCACAAACATTCACAACATAGGAAAAAGGTAAAAAAATAGAAAAAATACTTTCCCCTCAGCCCATCCTCAGCCATTTCAAGTTCGTCTTGCCAGTGGGTCTAACGATGTTGAAGGCAGAGTAGTGGTCATGTACGAAGGATCTTGGGGAACTATCTGTGATGTTGGCTGGGATCTGAGAGACGCGAGGGTAGTTTGCAGAATGCTGGGGTTTGGTGGAGCCTTGGACGCACCAATATCTGCAAGGTTCGGTCAGGGATCTGGTCGTATTCTTCTAGCTAATGTCGGGTGTGAGGGAACAGAAGCTAACCTTGCAGACTGTGCTCACCGAGGAATTGGAGATTACTGTGATCATAGACGCGATGCCGGCGCCATTTGTTATTCAGGAGGTATGTTTTTAAAAAGCCATAGTTTCAATCAACCTCTTTTAAATGCTTCCAAAATTCCTTGCTTAAACATTACACATATGAGTGTTGCAGTGAAATCCCTAACATTGCGACTGAGGCATTGGCCATTGTGACCAGCAAGGCCAAGGCTTAAAACTCCAAGACCAAGGCCCAATCATCAAAAAGTTCGGGAAAATGGAACCTGCGAAGACGGGTGTTAACTTACACATAAAAAGACACAAAACATGGAATTCTTTATACCCAACAGGATGTGTTATGAATTTAAGCATTGCCTTCATCAACCAAATTGGAAAATAAGGGGTTGCCATTTTGTTCTCGGCGGGGTTCGGAGGGGGTAGAAAAGTGTTACAAATATTAATTTGCATAATTACAAACTCCCTTTAATAAGGGGTTGCCATTTTGTTCTCGGCGGGGTTCGGAGGGGGTAGAAAAGTGTTACAAATATTAATTTGCATAATTATAAACTCCCTTTTTATTACCCACTACTAATATATGCTTTCCCAATTTCCCAATCAATCTCAATTAAATGAGTTAATGCATTCAATTAAGTGTGTCACTATAGTGTCAAAGTTTATTTCCCTATTTGAGTAAGATTACCCAAATATTTTTTGGTGTGCAGATAACGGGGCTTTTAGACTATGTTTAATAACCACTGTTCAAAGTAGGTGACGGCTCCATAAACGACATATAGTTGTAAAGCTTAGATCCTCTTCTTTCATTTGATGCAACTCATATGAGGCATATTTCACGCATGAATGATTAAAACAATTTGAAGAGAGGGTACAAAAAAGTCAATTGCCGGGCGGTATCTAAATTTCGAAGAGAAAGTCACACTTCTAGAAAGTTCATTTTTTATGCCCTTACATATGACACCTCAATCAGGAAAATTGAGTCAGGAAAAACACAGTCCTGTTTGTTTAAATTATTGCCTGCATTTCCATAATTTGATTAAACGTATTCGTTTTCACTGGCTGCCTGCCGTAGCAACAAACAGAGTTGACAAAAGACCTAACTCCGTTTCGTTGACGTTCAGCCATGCACAAAGAAGAAGAAAGACTTGCTGCATGGCTGCTCATGGCTGTACATAACTTTGCCTCTTTGTGTGTACGGGAACAAGTATTGTTCTACCGGAAAATATAAGATGATGTTCAAATAATCCCCCACCTGTATTTTCATTTTGTCTTAACGACGGTTTTGCATGGGAAGCAACGACAGCCAAAGCGTAATAATTTCCATTATTCTACACATGAATATATCAAGCCGACAATGCGATATTCTCCCTCATCATCTACAGTCCTCACAAAAAATTGGGGTTAGTTGTTTGGTAGTACTTTATAGCATATCAAGATGCAAACAATGGCCAAATATTTTTAAGTGCCTTCATTTTTGTAATCGAACGTAAGATTTGCGGTGATATAATCTCAAACAAGCATGTTTTACGTTCTTCTCTAATAGTCCATCCCAAACCATTTCAAGTCCGTTTCGTCGGTGGGTCTAACGATTCTCAAGGCAGAGTAGAGGTACTGCATGATGGATCCTGGGGAACTATCTGTGATGACAGCTGGGATCTGAGAGACGCAAGTGTGGTTTGCATAATGCTGGGGTTTGATGGAGCCTTGGACGCACCGACATCTGCTAGGTTTGGTCAAGGCTCTGGTCATGTTCTGCTAACTTATGTCAGCTGTGACGGAACAGAAGGCAACCTAGCAGACTGTGCTCATGCAGGGATTGATCGTTACCCATGTAGTCATTTAAGGGATGCAGGAGCCGTTTGTTATTCGGGAGGTATGTGTGTGTTTTTTAATTTTTTTTTATTTTTATTGGTTAGCCATTTGAGTAAATAATTCTTACTTATTCGCTTGCATATACACCTTAATGTATATTTTGCATTTCCTTGATTCAGCAATTGAGGTTGACCGCACGAAACTGAATTCCGCAAACAAGCAAGAATCATAGGTTTTCTCACTCCATCGTCTCACCTGAATTTGTTTGTTATAGTTAGGGGATTGCTCTTGATATTTCTGATCATATGAGGTACTCTTGACCAATCTATGTACTGGATTTTTATAAAGAGGGGTCCATGATTACATGATTACATTATACATGTGAAAGCACGATAACCAAACACCCGGGTAACGTCATTATGAAAACTAAGTTTGCATTCAAAACACAGCCCCCCTTAAATTAAATTAAGCTTCCATTTAATCCGTTAATCGAAATTAGGAAGAAAACGCAAACATGGCGGTTTATGGAAACTCATGTCGCTGGAATTTGTGAAAAGACTTTTAACAAATTTGAATACGTTTAATGGATTTTGTAGAAAACTAAATTGAAAATATTAAGCCCCTTTTAATTCATTATTTGTTGTATAATTTTTGTCTATGTTATCTCTATTTTTATTAATTTCCATGAATATTTATCGGTACAAAAATCCGAAGTTATTGTTTCGAAATATCTTTCTAGGTTTGAAAACTTACTCGGACTTGATCACCTCTGATGAAATACCGTCAACGTACACAGCCAGGCTTTTCCCCAACGGACACGAAACCACGATATCTCCAGGCCCAATTCAACTAGTTGACTTCCGAATGAAAATTCTAATTGGACTGTGTATTCTATTATTTAGCATGATTCTGCTCGCATCATTCGGGTACTGTATTTACAGGTTTAAAAAGAGAATGGATGCTTGGGATTTAGACACTGAAATATATATGGACGTGGCGACTATGTCATCAATGCATGCTCGGTCACCTGGTTCTGCTTACCAAGCTTTGAACGCACCACCTAAATTGCCTGAAAGACGGAAAAGTGATGTTTTAAGTCACCATTATGAATCAAATATAAAAGATATAAAAGATAATGATGATGACGACTCAGAAGAGGTCCATGATTATGCGGATATGAAAACTGTTAACAAAACACCTCAAACTGATGAGGACTCGGACATAGACGGTTATCTCCTTCCGAGCACAGAAATACCTTTAAACGACGGAAAATCGGTATTAGTTAAGAGAAACTTTGGTTGCAAAATGGACATATCAAGACCTTCTAATAAAAAAGCAGGAACGGTGTCTTTATGTCAAGGCATAAAAGAAAATATGAAAAACGATTATATGGAAATGAAAACGGTCTACCAAAAGCCCAAAGCGGGAACAGACATAGATCTTGATGGATACATCCTTCCAAACGTAAGGCCTTTTTTAAATGATGGTGATACAGGAACATATGAACTAACTCGTGAAAATAACGACGAGGAATCGAACATGAAAATCGCCTGTACCGGAGGTGAAGGGCATGTCTCCTTACCACAAGACACGTCGGAGAAAGAGATGAACGAGTATACGGATATGAAAACCGTTTACCAAACACTTAAAACTGATAAGGACTTGGACATAGACGGGTATCTCCTTCCGAACACAGAAATACCTTTAAACGATGGAAAGTCGGTATCAGATAAAATTAACTGTGGCTGCAAAATGGAAATGCCAAAACCTTCTGATGAACAAGCAGGAACGGGGTTTTTACCTCAAGGCATAAAGGAAAAGATGAAAAACGAATATATGGAAATGAACACGGTTTACCAAAAGCCTAAAACGGGAACGGACATAGATCTTGATGGATACGTCCTTCCAAACGCAAGACCTTCGTTGAATGATGGTGATACAGGAACCTATGAATTAACTCGTAAAATGAACGACAAGGAATCGAACATGGGAATCGATTGTACTTTAGGTGAAGGGAAGGTCCCCTTATCGCAAGACACGTCACAGAAAGAGATACACAAGTACATGGATATGAAAACTGTTTGCCAAATTCCTGCAGCAGGAACTGACACGGATCACAATGGGTATCTTCTTCCAAGTACGATGCTAGAGACTAGATCTATCCGAAACGATATCAAAGCAGAATCAGATGGTCAATCTGATGAAGACAGGGTGCCAGATGAGGAATGAATGGCGGCGAGTCAATGAAAGAAAGATCACAAAGTATGAGCACTGGAAAAGAAGAGTATTGTACTAGCAACTATCGGAAGCGAAGTTGAAGGGAAGTGTCGAGGTGGTAGGTGTCCTGCAGGATTGATAGACATCTTCAAGAATTGGGAGGGTGGAATGAGAGTAGCGAGATTGAATGCGCGAGAGAGAAGCCGGCGGCCCATAGAGGCTGTGGCATAACATGGCAGTACATGTAGTGATATGTATTTTAAAGAACGGGATGAAACATGGAGGATTCCAGTAAACTAACCTATAAAACAAGGTGCAATCTGAGATTAATGTACATAAGCCATATTGACTAAAAGACACACTCTGAAGGAGATGAACATTGATTAGTATGTTATGTATGATCCATTTATTCTTAATTTAGAACAGGACAATTTGCCATGCACCAAACTAGAAATATACCAGAACCTCTTCCGTTAACACTTTGATAAAATGGTGGTCCTCCTCGTCTTTTGACACAAACATGTTCTCACGACATTTAAACTTACTGTGGTGTTTGTAATTTACTAACAGAACCAATTTGTATATAACGATCATCAGATGAAGCAACTTACAACTGAACTAGACCGAGTTCAGAATCTCCAAATCCGAATTATGCAACAAAGAAATAGCCAAGTGTTTTTTATTGGCTCCCAGAATCATTCTGCAAAAAACGACACTTATTAGATTTGTCTAATTAATTCGATGGTGCTTTTATTTTTGTTGCTCATATCACTAAAACTTATCATTACTGAGGCCCACACAGTATCAAATTGGTGCCTCATTTACTCTTAATGTATACATTACTTTCTTTTATGAAATAAAATGTCTGCAAAAAAACAAGCGAATGAAATGACAAAGAAACTGTTGAAAGTTCTTATTTATCGTAAAAGTACTAGTTAAATTCATTTCAATTTTTTAAAAGAAATCTAAATCCGAGTACTTTATATTTTTATTGTCACCTAATTTGCATGAAATGATCTGATTGTAATTATGTTATCTTGGGATTTCGATTTGTATGCGCCCATAAACATGGGATTAAGCGCTTTATAAATTGTACATGTATATATTATTAGTAAAAGTAGTACATGTATTATCAAACCAGGCAGAAAAGTGGAACATTTATGTAATTACTAAGTGGTGATTAGTATTACAAACATACAATATTGTATTTGATTGAAATCTATTGTGAAGTTCAAGTTCTGCATTTTTAGTCTAAAGTTGTGTTTGTGTCCACACTTTGCTTAGGGTTGTTTGGTCTTTCTTTTTAAAAATTTATATATTGTTCTATTTGTTTTTTTTACATCGTTTAAGCTTTTAGTTTATAGTTGTTGTTGTTTGGTATTGCAAATTCAACTATGAGTTTTAACAAATTCTCCTCTTGGTTGCGAGCACTTTCAACTTTTGTTCATAAGGGGACTTTTTTGATGCCATGAGTAATTATTTGCATCTGTGCTGTAAAATGTTCTGCTTTGTATGTGTATATGCTTTCATTTGAATTCAACAGAGATGAACTTTAACATAATCAAATGCATTGTAAATAAGTATCTCTACCAAAAGTGAAGGAATTTCAAATTGCCTATTTTCAATGGGAAATTCCTCCTTTGTTTAGGAAACGTCATTATTTGTCAGAAATATGTTAAATAATCATCGCTATGAAGATATCTTTTTCCCCCAAGGGTAGTAAGTCTACCATATAAAACTTCGTTAAATTGTGTATCAACATAATAAAAAAAGAAAATAAGAAAATGGGTTGGGGAGAACTAATTAAACATCGTACATCTACATGAGTAGAAACGTAAGAAAATTGAGGCTATTATAATTACATAATTAATGGCGAAATAGCAATTAGTCTGTGATGTAAATAGGAACTCCCAATACCTTCGTAGGCCTACTCTGACAAAACATTCTCTCAAATATGCGAGAGTTGTCCAACACTACATGGAAGCGAATTAATTATCAGTTTTCTACAAAGTTTGAATAGATAACACGTTTATAAAAAGGTTAGGACTTTCTACCTTTTAAATTTAATTGGTTCAAACTTAAACCATCTGTTTCTCTAACATTCCGTTTTTCCTTAAAAGCAACCCTTGCCGGTATAAAAGATTGAATTTCCCTCTAAGAAAAAACCGAATCGATACTGGGATTCACTTGAAAAAAATGAATAAAGCGAAAGCATAATACTAAAAATGATTTAAAACAATTTAACTTCACTAGTTTTCTGGCATGTGTGCCTGCTAAAGGGGCTAAAGCGACTGTACTGTAGAGGCTTTCCAATGTTAATACCCAGCGTTATGACACTCGCAAGATCGCCGATGTCGACTCCTCTTGCAAACCCAGTATTATTGAATTGTACGTTATCATGTTCACAGTCAACGAATATAGCATAACATAGTTTGGAACAAGCAGTGTGTAGAACACCAATAATAGATCATCCGTTCATCTATAGTATATTCATCAATCCTACCTACGATGTGAATAGATAGTATACCTACGCCTACGCTCTTGCCTTGCAGACTTGTTGAGTGCGACACAGAAAAATAAAGGCCTGAAAACATAAACAATTATGAACTATGGGCTGTGTGGTTCCACGTTTTTCATAAAGAAGTAATATACTCTCAAATACGCCATGTCATATGCCATGTACAGTGTCACTATAGAGAAACTACTGTACACGGGTCGTGACGTCAGATGTTGGTCTTGATGGCAATTTGCACATTTACACGAGGCCCATCTTAAAATATATATATTTTAAATAATTTTTTCTTATCATTATTATACATTTATGTCTCATCTGTCAGTCGTCATTGTCTCTTTTGACCTTTTCAGTGTTTACTCTACTATATAGGCTACATGTCGTAAGCAAGTTTTCAAATTACGGATTTATAACTGTATTATTATTCTGCCACTTTTTGGTAATCTATGTATATATTTATTTTTTGTTCAAGTCAATATATGTACATGTTACCAAACTATGTT